TTTTTAGTTTTTTTTTTTTTTTTTTTTGTGTAGTCATATGGGGACTCGTTATTTGGTCGGTTTTGTGGAGTTTCACAACAGGGTTTTTTTGGTATGTGAGTCATACACAAAATTTGACGATGCTCAAACATTCGTTAGTTGTAAATCGACAAATTTGACGACTTATAGTTGATATAGGGTTGCGAGATTTGACATTGCACGTTGAACATTAGCTTGAGACATGTGGAGGATGTGGGTGTAGGTGACCATGAGCAACGTTGCACCTACGATGAATAAACGTTGCACGATGGGCTACAGTAGTTGTAGAATTATCAAGTCTCAAACATTGTTGTATTGTGTTTATTAATGTAATGGAAACTAACAAAACCAACTACGTTGCCAATACAATGAGATTAATTGATTATTATATAAAATGACATCACGTTTGTACTTTGTGCTACAACGTCGATTTATATGCAACTCACTTCTTGTTCTCGTGTCAACAACAACTTTGTGTTTCATCGAATTAATCGCTGATAACTTTAATCATCTGCCAACTGAACTACTCGATCATTAACAACTGCAACACTCATCGAAGAATCACTAAATGTCGTAGCAAGAAAAAGACATTATCATTAGATTTAGGTTTACACGTACTTGTTGGAGTCATGTCGCTATCGTTTGAATTCCTTTAACCAAGATGGTCACTCCTATCTAAGTCAAAATCACAATATGACATAATCGAGAATTTTAATTTTATAAATAAAAAAACATTATATATATATATATGACAATTTTAATTAATCTTAGAGGAGAAATATTTACATTTAAATTTTTAAAAATTAAATTTACAATTTTTTATTTAAAAATATTTTAAGAAAGAAATAAGCAAAAAAAAAAAAAAGGGAAAATGACACGTTTGCTAAGAGGCAATAACTTCCTTATTACCGTTATTTGACAGTTATCGAGCTGGCCCCACCCATAGTTATGGTCTTCTAACGTTCACCAACGTGGAGTCCTTAAAATTCGCCACGTTTCTCACAATCTGACGTCATCTTGTGCTTTTTGAGAAAATTATTTCAGTATCCAAATTAGAACAATCCATGTGCTAATTTTAATAATTAAATAAATAAATAATAAATAGAAAAGTGTAATATTTGGACAGTTGTTGAATAATCCTCCAAATTGTTTAATAAATAATTTTTTAAATTTTTTAAATTTATAATTTTAAAAAATTATATTATTTTTTACACGTGTAGGCATTTCTTCAACTCAATCTCTCTGTTTTTTACACGTGTTTCGGTGGATTAGCAAATAAGAAAAACAATCCCCTTTGCAAGAAGCTTACAATTCCTCGCCGGCGAGAGGACGTCTGAAGCGGGCCGTAACCGAATATTCCGGCTCCGACACGGCAGTAAACGGCTGATAAGGCGGCGAAAGGGAGGTTTATGATGGGTTTTCTGAACGCCATTTGGAGCATTTCCGGATTCTTTGTCGGAATTTCAGGTAAATATTCGAGGGTTTTTTGTTTAATGTCTGAAATTTCGGAAAAAATAAGGTAATTAGAAGTAATATTAATGTTATTGATTGATAATCTCATATGTTTTTGTGATTAAGGAATATAATTACTTTATTATCGTAAGTTTAATCCTGTGAAGTTCTTGGAATTAATGTCTGATAAATTAGATCATATGGCAGTTTACTGGGTATATTTCAAAATCTAAGAACTTAAACTATCAGAGCATTAGACTTTTTTCTAGAATTGTAAGGGGAATTTGACTGGTTCGATATCGTAGCACTAAGTTATAGGTCGTATGGACGGTTTCTAGATAGAGAGTCGTAGAGTTCTGTGTAGCCCGACTCACTTAACGCCTCGTTGCAGCGAGGTAAGTAGTTAAAACATGAGTAGCTAGGGATCTTGTGGTTAAATTGGTGCTTGGTGTCGTGATAGCAGTTGAATTGTATGTCTAGTCATTGTTTTGTTTGAGAGGAATCTTTGGGAGCATTTGTTCTGTTGGTGTGAGATCCCACTTCGGTTGGAGATGGGAACGAAACATTTCTGTTAAGGGGTGGAAACCTCTCCCCTAGTGTACACTTTTTAAAACCTTAAGAGGAAGTCCGGAAGAGAAAGCCCAAAGAGAACAATATCTACTAGCGGTGGGCTCGGGCTGTTACAAATGGTATCAGAGCTAGATACTAGATACTGGGTGGTGTGCCAGGGAGAACGCTGGGCACCCAAGGAGGTGGATTGTGAGATCCCACATCGGGTGGAGAGGGGAACAAAACATTCCTTATAAAGATGTGAAAACTTCTCCCTGGCGGACTAGTTTTTAAACCTTAAGGAAAGCCCAAAGAAGACAATATTTGCTAGCGGTGGGCTTGGACTGTTACAGTTGGTGTATCACATTAGTGGTAACTCATTGGGAAATATGTCTAGAAACTCATTTACAGTTGGAATTGAGGTAATATCGGTTGAAAATTGTTGGGAGAGGAGTCCTACATCGACTAGTTATTAGCTTAGAACTCTGAGAAAGATCTTTGACGTTGACCCCCTAAATCGAGTACTCTTTCTCGAGAGAGGTTGAAATATGGTTTATCTTTTGTGGCGATTAATGTTGGCATGATGCTCTGCCCACCGCTCCATTCCTAGAATGACATCGAAGTCACTCATAGCCTTGGGTCTGCGTTGCGCCACCCTTACTCTTCTTGTTCAACCCCGACGGTCGATTAGGATTTGTGGTTCTCATGGTCGGGCCGTTTGTTATACAACGCCCAGTCTAGCCACAACCATAAGCAGCTATCAATTCCAGCTCTGTACTGGCCTTTGTGGCTTCTTCCACATTGTTTGCAAGCATGCCTTTCCTCACATTGTGGCAATTGTTGGTCTGATTGGTTCCGAGACGCTCGCTGCTGCGATCCCGAAGAACCACGATCAAACTTCCTCTTATTCCTCCATCTATCTCGACCACCAAATCTTCTAAAAGCACTGTGGGTGTGCATATCTACGAGTATAGCCAATGCCTATACTTAAAGATAGTCGATTGACTCTAGCCAAGACTCGACTGCTGTAGGATCCACAGCTTGCCGATCGAACTGCGGTGGTTCGTACTCCCTGAAGTTCCTTAGATATCTAAATTCTTCAAACATGCAAATTCTGGCCTACTTGTCTAGCCACATTAGTCTCTAGAGCTTTGCTAACTTGGTTAGGCATAATATTCCGGACCATACAGCTTACCTAGCTAGCCATAATATTCTCGACCGCTTGCGTTCATAGCCACTCTTAACTTTTCAACAACTAGCCCTAACGAGACTCTTACAAAACCACTAATCCTTAAAATGCGTTAACAAGGTTGATATTTTGCTAGAAGTGATATTGAATCGGATAAAAAAACTGGCAAACAGAGGTCAAACGGGCGAAAACAACCTACATCACGCACACTCTCATGTGCCTATCTTCGTCCTCCCCCACATGTTTTTTTTGCATTTGTTTCCTCTTCTGTTTCAAACTCGGTTTTTCCCTCTTGTCCACAATTCAACTTGGTTCCTTCATCAAAATTGAAGAGGACAATTCTAATGTCTCGGGAATCATAAGAACGATCAACTACACAAAGAAATTCTACTGAACTTTGTTCTTAACAGGTATGAAAGTCTATGAAACGCACGAGACGTAGTCGACGTTGGTACCTGCAATTCTATGTTGAGTTCGTTTGCTCGAACAGGTCTCAGAGCTTTCACGAATCTGGATACGTTTACAAGGTCTAATAGACACAAAAAATACAAATTCTGGGCTCAGCTAAGTATGTATAGCTCTGGAAGATTTCCTTCTATATTTGGACTGACCTGATTGAATATAACTTATCCCAGTTTAAATGGCCAATAGGGGAGAGAGTAGGAAGAGATATTTTCCTGTTAGCTAAATGGGGTCCGAGACTGAAATTATATACATTTTTCACCTCAGCCCTCTTCGATTCGCGTAAAAATAGATGAGGAATTTCGTGAGAATGAAGATTAAAATAGGAGGCAAAGACGGAGATGGGAAAGGCTTGTGGAGATCTCTATTGACGATAAGTTACCTTCAAAGAAGACGTCTGTGAAACACAACAACTTGAACCCTGAAACGAAACAGGGAGTTCGAGTTAGCCAGCCGTTAAAGGTCCGGAATCTCAAGCCTTAGAGTAGTCCAAAACCATTTACTAGGTTGTTGAATCAAACTTCCTAGGATTTTGATATGTCCTAAAGGAATGTTTGGGGTATGTAGATATCTGCCTGTCGGATGCGATGGTCAACACAAAGGATTAACGAGACAGTCCAGGTTGAGCTGCAATGAAGAACTTGTTCATACAACAACTTTTGGACAATGAAAAAAGGCACGATTTTTATGTTCTTTTTTCTAGATTTGTTGAATTGGATGCAGTTGTTTATGTTCTTTTTGAATCTATGGTTAAAATTAGATCACAAAAAAGAGATTTCTCGTCACCATGGCTTCTTCTCGAGCACAATATAACTCAACCCTTGAAACATACTATAGCTTCTGGTGGCCTATAAAAGTATAGGGTGTCGGAGACGGCTTTCTCATCCTCAACCTCACTCTCCATTCTAATCTCCATGTTTCAAAATTTTCGTTAAATTTCCTTCCCCTGCTCTCTTTAGCTCACGAACAATATTTTTCTTTCCACTTTCTTCTTATTATTTGTTTAGACGGAGATTTCTCGCTTCCTTTAGGACTACTCTCAGTGGGCTCTCCATCCCCGGGAAAAAATGGGCATTCCTATAAACAGTAGTTTTTTCTCTCGTCGAAAGCATTCCGATGGTTTGTTCTAGCGTAGTAAAAGTTAAGAGTTTAGATAGTACAATGAGTTTCGGGTTGCTCTAGGGTTTCTAAGTCAATCCTTCCTAAATCAAATTGGTTGGCTTGACCGAGCCAGTTACCTCAAACCACTTGTTGTCGACCGAGAGCTTAATTTTCCCATGGTTTGGTCTAGACTCTTCTTGCATGTCGGGCTCGTGTAAGTATTTTTATTCTATCGGTAACGCGCAAATCACATCGCGTCGTGGAAGTAAGTCGAGCATTATGTGTATTATTTTATGGAGGGGTCAAGGGCATTGGCATGTGGATGTTATGAAATAAAGTGGGTCAAAAAATGTGGGCATCCCAATCTCCAAACATTGCACCTTTTGTCGCCGCGGTTGGTGCTGTGCTCACAGCCTTTGTTGTTCCCCCCTTCATGTCTTCCACATTCAGCTTTTCTATGCCCTCCTCTTCAATATTTCATCAATTTTCCTTTCATTTTCTTTTTTGACTTCAACAACATTTTAATCTTAAACTTTTAGTTTTCACGAGTCCAATTACGTTCTTATTCCTAAAGTCGAACTAGAAAGTTATCTGACTAGCTCGGTTGAACAACTACTAAGATCTATTAGGAAAAGTGTTCGGTTGTTATCTGTGAGATCCTACATCGATCGGAGGGGGAAACAAAACATTCCTTATAACAGTGTGAAAACCTCTTCCTAGTAAATGTGATAAGTAACGGGCCAAAGTAGATGGGCTTAAGGCTATTACAAATTGTATTAGAGCTAGACACTGTGAAGTGTGCCAACGAGAATTTTGACCCTTAAGAGGGTGGATTGTGAGATCCCACATCGGTTGGAGAGTGAAACGAAACACTCCTTATAACAAAGAAAGTCGCATTTGAAAACTGTGAGGCTGACGGTGATACGTAATGAGTCAAAACGGATAATATCTGCTAGCGGTGGGCTCAAGACAAAGAAAGTCGAGATCTAGTACTTAAATGTCACAGTTAAAAGTATCAACACGTTAAAGATCGTATTGAATTATTTTAACCCTAATGATTTATAAAAAAAGAAAAAAAAAATTGGGTAAGTGAGATCTAAAATTAATTGTCTCACTCACAAATCAATCATATTGATATTACAAAATAATTATTAAAAAAAAAAAAATTTAAAGGGTTATCTACCATGGTGGGGCCAGTCCCTTATATTCTTGCTTTTGGAAGGGGTAGGTGCCCCACATGTGGAGGACAGCCAAAGAGGTAGGTAAGGGCTTTGAGGATCACTTTGATTGGTCTTTTTCAATACCCTTTTGCACATGACTTCCACGTGCTCATGTGCTGGCCTTACTCCTATATTAATATTAATATTAATCAACCCACCTATTAATATTTTGTTTTGACTTTTATTTACATATATATATAAATTTTATCCATTGATTTCGAGCTCGAGCTCGAGGTTTTGCTCTTATGATCCAATCAAATTTATAAAATATCTCGGTTTCGAAGCTATTGAATAGGAACCCAGATATCAAATTGAGCTCAGAGGAACTGATAGGCTCGAAAGACCAATATGACGTATTTGAGAGAGACAACTTTACCATGAACCCAAATGAACGGAGTAAAAACCAAACATAAGACTTTTAGTCTTGTATTGGTAGTCTTATGATAGATAACCTATTTAGGTTATCACTACTAGAAGGTACAATCCCTGTTCGTCGGTACTTAGGTTAGCTAGTTTATTGATCGATATTTCTCTATTTTGCGTTCACACGGTGCTATATAGGGTATCTGTTAAAACAAAATATGACAAGTTTAACCTCGAGAAACGAGAAAACCCTAAAAAATAGGGTGGGGTAGTGTGTTGTTTCCTTGTGTAGCAAAAGGCATGTGGTGGTGAGGCAATGGAATTGTGCTAACAAGGTTTGGTTGGGGTAGAGAGACATGATGGTGTGGTGGTGAATATTAATTTATAATCAAACATTAGACCTAAATGATTAGGACAAACAACAAGGAAACAGCTTGCCCTCACAAGCTAATCACTTTTCCCATGTCCTTTCAAACATTATCCTTTTATTTTTACTTTTTCTGATAACACGTAATTGAAACTTAATGAATCAGATAGGTCTGTAACCCGTACGTAAAAGTTGAGGTACTAAAATTGTAATTTACTTTTGGTAATTATAGGGGTATTTTTGTAATTTTAAGACGAACGTAGATGAGACTGAAAGTAAAAAAGGAGCACAAGTTGTGATGTGGGAATAAAGATGATAGCTCTTTCACATATGAATGTAAAGTTGATTTGTTTTGATGGGTTTTGCTTACAATAGGGAAAAGGCGTCCCGAGAATGGTAGGTGAAACCATATAAAGCGTTACACAAGTGGCCATCTTTCTTATTCTCTCCCATACTGATTCTTTTCGTTTAAACATGTTTCACTTACCATTTTCGTATTGTTGTCAGCCTTACCGTTTTAAAACACGTCTACCAGGGAGAGGTTTCCACACCCTTATAAGGAATGCTTCGTTTCACCCTCCAACTGATGAGAGATCTCACAATCCACCCCTCTTAGAGGCGAGCGTCCTCCTTGGCACATCGCCTATGTTTGTCTCTAATACCATTTGTAACAGCCTAAACCCACCACTAGCAGATATTGTCCATTTTGACTCGTTACGTATTGTCGTTGGCTTCACGGTTTTAAAAACACAACTACTAGGGAGAGGTTTCCACACCCTTATAAGGATTGCTTAGTTCCACTCTTCAACCGATGTGGGACCTCACACCATTACTGTTCATGAAGCCTAAAGTTTTTGTTCGTTTTCGCTCGTTTTTGCTCGATTTGAGTGTAGAAAGAAACAAAGAATGAATCTCTCTTACCCAACTCATTATACCCATTTTGCACAAACTTGCACCACAAGGGTTTAAAAAAGAAGAAGAAACCAAAGGCCACACAACCACAACCATAACCCACATTCATTATATATCTTTTTTTTTTGCTCTTTCTTTCATCATCACACCAAACTCCAAACTCTTCTAGAAACCCTTTTCCCCAACCCTTATTATTATTATTAATGTGCTCTCCCCCCCCCTATTCTCTTGGTGAATCATAGTGTACCTAAAGAAAAAAAGATCCACAACTACCATCCCATCTTTAATATTTATTTGCACGAGCGATCACAATTTGTTATCGTGTTTCGAGCATTTCTACCTACCTAATATTTACAAATATTACTCTACATCTCGATTTATCCATCACTGAATCGAGCAATCCAACCCCATAATCCCTGTAGTTTGTGATCATTCATCGAAACCCTATTTTGAACAAAACCGTGTCAGAACAACCTGTGTCATTCGATTTCCACGTTTGTATGATCTATGTTAACCCCAAGGTGAAACCTTTCACCATGCCATACGATTCTTTCATCATACTAGACATAATCACTCATTTGGTTGGTGGTTGTGATGCCCCGACAGGTATGTTATGGGAGATGGTATACCTATGCCTTTGTCCCTCTGAGCCAGAAACAAAAACCCATTTTGCAGCGACGATCTTTAATCAGGCTAATCTGTAATTGGTCAAGGCGAATGAGAGGATCGTTACCTGGGTCTAATACCCATAATCCCTATAGTTTGAGAACGAATCATCAAAACCCAGTTTGATTAAAACAGTATTAGAACAAGCTGAATCGTTTCCACCCACGATCTAAATTCATCTTCACTTCTAATCTATCTGATCCCGAGACTTTTTCCTATTGAAAAAACATAATAAATTACGAGAACCCACTTGAAAAAAAGTTGATATTTTCCCACTTTTGCTTGTCTAGGATGCAAAGGCCACTAAACAATGTGAGGTGGGGCATGTGTACCAAATAATTGATCAAAAATATAAATGGGGAGTTAGTTCCCTTATGTCATTTATAGAATATATAAGCTGTGAATGTGCATGATAGTACATGCTGTCTGGTGAGTGAAGCAACATTTAGAGACGCAATTAAAATAAATTAATTAAATTAGTAAACAATAATAGTTATTAAAATATTTAACACTTTAATATATACATATATATTCTTTTATTATATGATTGAAACTTTCATATATATATATATATATATGATCAAAGAGAGAGAGAAAATAAAGGCCACCACCAGCCATTCCTCTTATCTAACCTATCTCACCAACTCACATCTAGAAGAAATTACCCCCTTTTTTTTAAATAAATATATAGTTTAGTTGTAAACCTAAATCGTGTACATTAACCACGGTTAAGTTAACTCGTGTTCTATTCATATAAGTAACTTGTGAGATCCTACATCGGTTGGAGAGGAGAACGAAACATTTTTTTTGTAAGGGGCTGATGGCGATACGTAATGGAGCTAAAACGGATAATATCCGCTAGCGGTGGACTTAACTGTTAGCCAGACATTGGGTGGTGTGCCAGTGAGGTTTCTGGGTCCCCAAGAGATGTGGATTATGAGATCCCATATCGGTTGGAGAGGGGCGAAACATTTCTTGTAAGGGTGTAGAAACCTCTCCCTAATCGACGTGTTTAAAACTGTGAGACTGACGGCAATACGTAACGGGCCAAAGCGGACAGTATCTACCAACAGTGAGCTTGAGCTATTATATAACTAAATAAATCGAGTCTCGTACTTACGATATAAGGTAAAGAGTGTGCCGGATACACCGCACGTGGAAGCAAAGCCTACTTAGTGGTGCCATGAAATTCATGTACACAACGAGTTTCATGTGTGACTTATGGACGTGGAACTACTATACCACAAACACAAGTTTGTGATCTTCAACAAAACCCTAGTAGCTTCTCTTCCCCTCGTGCCCGATAACTTGTAGCTACTCCTTTAAGCTGTGGTGTTCCTTTATTTGATTATAGTCATATAACGTTACCTTCTTCAATTCTTTCAAATCGTTTTCAAATGTATTTTCTTGCTCACGTTTTCTAAAATATTTTTAGCAAACGTGACTCGAGGCTCTAACATATACCGGTGTTGTCGAACAAGGGTAGTACAATCACTGTCCCACTAAGGCGAGAGGGGGTTAAAAAAAATATTTACATTATTTAAATTTTTATGTTTAAAACTACTTTAGATGTTTTTTTTTTTTTATAAAAAAAAAAATTTTTAAATTTTTTTTTGAAATTATCCCGTCAAAAGGCTATAAAGGTACGCCCAAATTACAGAGAAGGGCTGGCCTGAGCGTTCCTGCAGCGACACGAAAGGGAAAACCGCCATTTTCAGCAACCACAAAGCAAAAGAAATTGTTTACTAAAACTCCGACCAACGGCGGCGCAGACCCACAACCCCTACTGGGTTTCAATCGATTTTTCTGATTGTTCTTCCGCGAGCTCAAATGGGTCGGTCGCCCTGCTGCGAAAAAGCGCACACAAACAAAGGTGCGTGGACCAAAGAAGAAGACGAGCGCCTCATCGCTTATATTCGAGCTCACGGCGAAGGCTGTTGGCGTTCTCTTCCTAAAGCCGCCGGTCTCCTCCGCTGCGGAAAGAGCTGTCGATTGCGGTGGATTAACTACCTCCGCCCCGATCTTAAGCGCGGCAATTTCACCGAAGAAGAAGATGAACTGATAATCAAGCTTCATAGCCTTCTGGGTAACAAGTAAGTTTGGGGGAAATTTCGATGAGGAATGTTTTGTTTGAGCATTTTAATTCATGGGGTTTGATTTTGATTTAGGTGGTCTTTGATTGCTGGGAGATTGCCCGGAAGAACAGATAATGAAATTAAGAATTACTGGAACACTCATATTAGAAGAAAGCTCTTGAACAGAGGAATCGACCCTGTTTCTCATCGCCCCATCAACGAGCCTGCTCAGGAAACGGCTTCAACCACGATCTCTTTCAGTGCTAATGATGTGAAAATAGAAGAGAAATCATCCATGGCTGTTGAAGATGATACTAAAAACATAGAAATCGAACCCCCAAATGAAGAACGGTGCCCAGATTTGAACTTAGAGCTCAGAATCAGCCCACCATATCAGCCACACCCCGAGAAAATGGTAGCCAAGAGCCTCTGTTTTGCTTGTAGTTTGGGATTACAGAACAGCAAAGACTGCCACTGCAAAATTGTGTATAATATTGGGACTTCCAGTGGGAATAACAGCAGCGTTGGGTATGATTTTCTTACCATAAACAACAGGATTCTTGATTATAGAAGCTTGGAGATGAAGTGAATTTCTGATTTTTCTTGAAATCTCTCCAAGTTCTTCACTCCCTCTGATTTGTAAGATTTACAGTTCATATTGGTATAGTATGATTATGAGTACAGTTGCAGAATTAGTTCATGATTTTCCTTCTTTTTTGATACTCATTTTGGCTGACTGAGATGAACAAGAACGAAGTAGATATCATTTTCTGGGAAATGGGTACTCATTTTTGTGCCATAGATATCAATTTTCTGTCCATTGGAGGGTGTGGATAAGCTCTGTGAGGAGGAGAATGGAGGGTGACCCATCTCTTCCATAGTTAAAGCTCTGTTGTTTATGATGTTAAAAAGAGAGGTTGAAATTGAAATAATATAAAAAGGGGGGGTTGAAGGATCTAAGCACTGTTCGTAGTACCGTTCTTTGTCTACCAAACTTCTTAGCATTTATATCAGCTCCATCATGACTCAACCTACCATATATATCCACTAGAATTTGGATATCTGTTTCCATTTATCTTCTTCCCCCTTTTCCCCTTTTCTGCCTTATCATGCAACTCCCATTATACACCACACTTTTCGTCGCTATCAAATTTCTCTTACCCTTTCTACTTTTGATACCCGTCACGCTACCCGTATACATACCATAAATATGATTAAGATATACGTTCTTAATCACGAATTCAGGGTTTCAAATCTTCATTCAAGAAGACAACTAGTGCAGCTTTACTTCAATCCTCATTGCCTAAACCTGTTGCCATTACCCCACGGTTCCACCGTAGTCGAAACCCTTTATCTAAAATCTTTTTGCCCATTAAAGCAATACATGAGTTGGGTTCAAAATGTGGTTCAGACAATGGTGAAGTTTTAGGTTGATCCACTGATCAATAAAGGGTAAAGGGTCGGTAAATAATAAATGACTGGGTATGCTCTCCGACCCTCTTGTCCATGTTCTCCTCCTACGGTTGTTCAGTTGAAATTTTGGAATGATTGGGTATGCTCCCGACCCACATCTTTATTAGTCAGTAAACTTGGAATGGCCACAATTTTTAGATAAATTTTAGCTAAAAAAGGTATAATAATTTACTAATTTCCCCAAAATGGTAATCCTAATATTG